ATGAGGGAGAAAAGCTGCTAGAAAGTGGGCTGTTAGACTGGTCTGCCTCGCTTGTTTTTCTGCATGGTGTCACTTTTGGTTGACAAAATAGGTGAAAAGCATCTGCTAAATGGCGTCGCTACATTGTAACATTGCAAGCGGTACAACAATGGGGTCACCGCACACACTCCGGTGTAAGTAGAGCGACTGCAGTGAAGAAAACTCAGCACCCTTCATGCTGAGAGTTTCCCACTGTGAGGAAAGCGAGCTGGTTTGTATATGCAGCTCTGCCAATCAGATAAGAAAAGTGGGTTACCCATGCGTCACAATCCCTCCAACAAATAACAGCACAAAGCTCTCAGTAAATACTCACATGGGGAGACGGACGCATGAGTGACACATTAAATCAGTGCAAAACAGTCACATGAGTCTGATTATGAGTTAGCGTGTGCATGCATCAAAACATTCATTATAATCATTATGCAGCAGCACCTCGGGGCTCTGCACAGATCATGTGTACTGCTCATCACAGGCTGGAGAGTTTCCAGCCAAAGAGATGAAAAATAACTTCAAACATCACTAAGCACATTCAACGGTGACTGGATTGTCAGCGTCGATCGGAGGGGGCACAGTCACGCCATGTTAATACCCTCCAGCTACATGTTTCTGAGCCGAGCTGTCGAGGATGACGGACCCCTCACAGAGCGAGCTCAGAGTCAGCGGGAGGTCCTGTCCTGACCAAACACACAGTGTATACACTTAGAGACAGCTGCTGATCTGATGAGGGGGGGGGGGGTGTCAGTCCAATATGAGCAGTCTGAGAGTTTTTGTCAAGTTTGTGCAGCACAGAATAAAAACAGCCTGTCAGGAGCGTCATCTGCATGCTAAGATGGAGCCAGGGTCGCTGCAGAAGACACAAGAAGGTTGAACTTTGCTGTTGACATCCTGCTCCGACTCTGTAATCCAAAACACAAGTTTAGCTTACTGACAAAACTGTGAAGATCCCTCAGGTCAGTAAAGACTCTTGTGTTCCTTGACTTTTGCACCATTTGAGTCCAACTTTTGGCACGGGGTACCTTTATCATGCTCCACATGCAAGCACAAGCAGTGTTTCTGCACTGTGACTGCAATGTCAATGCACCTCATCAGTCAAACTCTGCAGGGCATCTATAAACAGTCTGCAGCCAGTCATACTAACTACTGCAAAGACTTTATATAAGAGCTCTGACTGGCATAGATTTGGATTTGGAGTCTGAGACGTGTCAGCTGGGAGAGAAGTTCAGAGTCAGAGGACTGTTCTTGCTCTGTCTGTTTGTCTGGTGAAATGGCATTTGTATTCCTCTGATGGATTATAAAGTCATTTTGGAAAAGGAAGAAAAAAAGAAAAGAAAGAAGTTTGTTTGCAGCATTTGTCATCCCTTGTTATTTTCCTGCAGGGATTAGCACTCGGCTGAGGAAACTTGTTAATATTAGCGTATGATAATTATTAGGGAATAAATCACACAAACTCAAGGCAGATTAATTTACTTGCTCAAGTTTGGGAACAAAGTCTGCATGTTTAGTAAAGGGTCAGCGGGTTGACATTGAGCTGAAGATTATTGTTGACAATGTTTTTTGTACGGTGTGTGTGTGTGCGTGTGTGTGTGTAAGTGTGTTTGGGGATGCATGACCAAGCAAATGTGAAAGCCTGTAATCCAGTTACCATTCAGTAAGTTATTATCCCTGACCTTGGCTCAGGAAAAGGCAAATTCTGATGTCAGTGTCTGATCTTGTTTAAAAAAAGGAATGAAGTGTCAGTGACAGAAAGCAGCAACAGAGAGGCACCACAAAAATAAAGAAAATCAGTTCATTCTCAAATCCGAACCTTTGACTATTATACTGTTCACTGAGGCTGTTCTTACACTCATAAATATTCAATAAACCATCTCTCTGGAGCAATCGACATCAACACAACACACTAACATGGCCACTTGAACATTAAGTTTGTGAGGCATTAAGACTGTATTGACTTAAGGAGAAATCAACTAAAGGCCCACAACGGACGCTAGAGCTGGGCGATAAACCGAAAATTTACAGATACCAAAATTTACGACAATAACCGATATCATTTGCCCATATCGATATATTCTGTGTCCAAAAAAAAATAATTAAATAAAAGTTGGTTTTGGATGTGTGGAGGTAGGCTATGGTCTTATGTCCCTTTAAGACGCTGTCCTACGTCAGAGATGTGAGTCCACCCCATCCAGTCCGTAACAAAGAGGGAAAGACAGGTGAGGAGATGAAGGATGGTTCAAAAGTTGTAGCGGCTAAAGTAGACGAAGTTAATGTGGGAGGGGGTGAGCAGCTTGTGGAGTAGTTATCGTCCATTTATCCTTGTCGAGGTGAACTGCTCAATATATCTTGATATTGATTTGAGGCCATATCGCCCAGCCCTAATGGACACCCCTGATCAGACTGAGACCACAATACCACTCCACAGATCCAGAATCAGTGTCATAACCACTGTACTAGTCAAGATCCAGACTGTCAAGCAGTCTCAAGTTAATGAAAACAAGAAGTTTGAGGAATACCAATGGTGGGGGAAAAGACCTCCTTAGTGTCTTTTTAAGAATTGATTTGTCTGTTTTTAACGCTGGTGCTCTAAAAAAGTTTCAGTAAGGTTTTAATCACTGCAAAATTTAATCAGTGAGTGGTACTCAGTATGGGGGCTAGTGTCTCAGTTGGTCTTCTGGTTTTCCTCCTCTCCCTTAAATCCTCCCCTATCCTGTAGAATTTGGAGCTCTGGGTTTGGCTTCACCCAAAACTTCAGGTTTGATTATAGCTAAGGGAACTGTGGGGTGCAGGGCAAGTCATTGTTCCTTTTTCTATGAAAATACGACAGCGGCAGGGAACTCTGTGACTGCTCCACCTCCTGACAACTGCCCAGCGCTGACATGCACAGAGGTGCAAGGACTCAGTAATTATTGTTGTTGCTGTGTCTGTTTTACTGTAATTATATATTTCTTTCTGCATAAGATAAGATAAGAAACATTTTGTTGATCCCCATCTATAGTATTTTCCAAACTAAGTAATGCAGTTTTAACAGATGGATGTCTCACATGTGTCCAGTTCTGCTCAAGATTTCTGCCAGTTAAAATAACTTTCTGCTACTTTTACCTGCTAAATGCGTCAAAGTACTTTGCTCATGTTAAATTAATGTTTGGGTCCTGTGAATGGTATGATAGAGAGTGAAGTTTTTGTCAAGGGTCTTAAGATTACATTTGACATGCATGGACGCTGTGAAAATAAAGATTAACTGGTTGAATTTGAGATTTTAAGCTCTGGAGGCAAAACCAAAATAAGCTCATAATGTCATAATATATATACTAGCTTTTCTTTTATTTCACTGTCATAAAGTTACATTGTCTCTATGAGGTGATAGAATTCCTCTAAACAGAGTCAGTTCAACTTCAATACACCACTTGACACAAAGTTTTGACCGGCAGGAAACCTGGTGAAAAGTTGAAATCACTGCAGGAATGAGGACCTTCAGACAAAGTTTCTGATGAAACTGAAAAATACAACGCACTTCAACAGCTTCAGGGCACACAGATGAAGGACAAGATGCTCAGAAATTCATCTTTAGAGTCAATGAGAGAAGAAAAACCAGGTCTCTTCCACCTCAGCCATTATTAGTCTTAAGGACTCCCTCTTTGACCTTTTGTCTAATTACAGCCGTGGTTTGGCATCACAAGTGAATCAGTTGTGAACATGTTCTTGGCATGAGAGAGGGTCAGGACTTTAATCTCTGGAAAAAACGAACAAAATCAATCAAACCTGTATGCGGAGGATCGATACCCATTAAGAGGCGGAGGGGAAAATAACAGGATGCAGGTGATGAATAAAGAAAACAAGCCTGAGCAAACATGTTTGTTTTGTAGAGCAGAAGCAGCTGCAGCAGCAGGAAATACTTCCTTACATCAGACTTTAAAGTTTAATCCAAAGTAACTTTAATCAAAACCACTAAAACTGCCTTTGTGCTGATAAACTGTATTTCTGGAAGGTCACACTGTCTGAATTTGCATTTTAAACCTCATAAATGCCTCGTAATAACCTCCGCTGTGTTAATATGGAAGCCGGAAATGTCAGAAACCATATGTGTTGCTGTCACTTAAGAACTGACCTTTAGTCCCAAGTAAAGGCGTCAACATAAACAATCCACCAGCCTCACATGGGACCGTCTCCTGCCACATTTTGGTTCATCTTTTCTCCAGGAACAGATGCTTAATTAAAGAAGCAGCTGTGTCCTGCACTTTACTGGAGCCAGGGACGCGAAACCCCGAGTGCTTTTAGCAAAGCAGCCACTTAGTCCTCATCCCTGCTGTATTTGTTCAGTCTAAAACACTTTTGATGAAGATTAAGGCTCAAATTAGCTTGGATCTTTTGGGGGGTTCTGTTGTTATTTGTGTAGACAGTAAAACTAAACACTTTGCTTTACTTTCAGCTGGGGGTTCTTCCTTTGTGACTCAGGCTTCACCACCCGGGGTTTGACTCGGACTGAGGCTCAGGTTTATGTGATCTCACGACAACACTTGTCCATGTTCACACCATACTTACTGAAACCTGTTGTGGATGTACCTCAAAAAAAAGAAGAACTTTGATACCAGCTCTGTTCTTCATCTTCAACCACGTGTGCAGCACTTTGCAGCATTTGGCAAGTTAAAGCGGAAAAGAAGAGCTTCCTTTAACAGGCAGAATCCTCAAGGAGAACCAGACTCATGTTAGACAGTCATCTGTCGCTACCGCATTGGTATTAAAAAGGGGATAGATTCCCGCCCACTCACAGTCAGTGGCTGAAAGACCTTCCATCTTGTTTAGACCTTGAGAAGATTTGTTACTCAGTCCACTCTGGTAAAGCAGAAAAGCACAATGTCACCGTAGCTCAAAGTGTTTATTTTAAAATAACTAGTTATTGCCGTTAAGCTAACAGTTATTAGTGTGAATTTAGAGGAGGCTCCAGTTTCTTCATCAGCAGGTGTGTCTCAATGAGGAGGAGAGAACCCTAACTCCATGTACAGACTGTCCAGGTCCACTATAGCTTCAAAATGAGACCCCTCTGACCATGGCGGTGGCAGTAAACGCTCTCTTTGGTCCAGAATGTCGTAAGGAAGTGGGTAGTTGGTGACCAACTGTGGTGTGTTTTCTCTTCCACTTGGAGCTTCAGGCTCTGCATGAGTTTCCATTTCTGGTTCATCAGGTGGATCTTCATTGCTAGACTCCTTCTCCTTGATGGCTTTAGGCTCTGGATTGATGCTGGTTGAGAAGTTGAGGTCTCTGTGCAGTTTGGAGATAGCTTCAGTCAGGGCCTCGTCAGCTTTGTTCTTCTCCTTCAGTTTCAAAAGCTTCTCTCTCAGAGGTGCATTTTTAAGTGGAGGCTTCAGCGCTGATTCGGGCATTTCCTGAGAGCTTTTGGGACAAATGTGACCTGCGTACACAACTTCTCTGCTGGACGTTATCGGCCAATATACTGCAACGCTGTTACATGGTAGAGGAAACTTGCGACTACGAACAAGAGGTAGTCTTGCCCATTCTTCAGGTATCTTACAGAGCACATATTTGTCTGTGGGAGCAGCTGGAAAAGTGCAGCACAAACACAGAATTGCTCAGCAGATCCAGGGAGGTCTATTTAACTCATAAAGTGCAAAAACTGGTGATTCTTCTGTCTTTTTTTTATTCTCAAGATTCACAAAGCTACAAAAGAGCCAAAAGATCATTCGAAATCCTAATAAAAAGTATAATATATGACTGTCTAGGATTGCAGTTTTCTTCTTGCATAAGCATTACTTTACATGCTTTTATTTATCCAGTGCTTTCATATTTTCTGGTAATCTGCTACTACAGGACTAAAATTCTAAAGTTTGGGGTTAAAAAAGTCTAAAATCCTTTTAGCTCAGTGTCAATTTTAAGGCCTGGAGTTCAGGCCAGAATCAAAATCAAACCACCTTCAGATGCACCCTTGAAATATAGGTTACTGAATACAGCCACAAGGTGCAGCATCATAACTCCTGTTGAGCTGTGAGTTTCACCTGCATAGAATCAAATAAAAAAGTATTGATATATTTCAGTGTACCTGTTCCTCCTCTTCTTCGTTGTCGGGGCATTTTGATGAACTTCAGTGAAAACCTGCAGAAGACTGGTCTTGCTGAAGAGTTTTCAACAATCCAATCTCAATCCACCAGGGGCTACTGGATGTTAAACGTAAACACGATCGTCGTCCTGGAAACAAGATTCAAAACTCAACAGTGTAATTTAATAGATTAAAAAAAAACTGTGCAGTAATCACAGGTATTATGAGGGCCAGTCACAGCCTGAGCAGCATGTCAGAAAATATGGCGTTGTCCCACATGGTCAAGGCATCAGGTGAGCCTGCAATTATTTGTCTGTAATTTTTGCATCCATTGTGTAGATCCCAAAACACCCCGATTCCCTGATGTTTTACTGTTGCGATTGTTTGCTCGTTCCAGATTTGCTTTACCAAGTCCACTTTGTTTGTACAATACTGCTGCGTTCCAGTTGTACTTGTAAGTCGGAATTTCTGATCTTTGAGTCGGAAATTCATCTGGAACGCCCCCCTGAAGTCAGATTTCCGGACAGTCGGACGATCCTCACCAACCTCGACTTGAGGACGTCACCATTCAAGGTGGCAGCGCAGAGTATCAACAGTAAAGAGTAACAGTGAAAGCTCTCGTAATGTAATATTTACTAGCACATCTGTTTTGTTTTTGTGGAATTAAATAGGTGGTATATGTTGTACTGCCCAACGTCTAACTGTGAACACGGTGCTATGGTGTTTGTAAGAGTAAAATACCGTGTTATGCGTTGTTTACAACTGGTATTGCTAACAACCGCTAACAACAACTGACAACGGCTAATGACAGCTGACAATTGTAAACAAACAACAGCTAGGCGTCCATCTTGGCTTTCCGACTTGTTAACTGGAACGCTGTCAACTCGGGTGTAACATCATACCCAGCTCCGACATCTGACTTCTGGGGTGAGTAGAAAGCAGCATATTACCACTGTGTTAGTTTACTGAGGTCAAGAGTGCATGGACTGGCCGGATTATGATGACAGCGCCCTCTGCTGGATCATACAGCAAGCTACTGATATGTCAGGATTCTGTGTTATATATAACTCTGAATTCAAACAGCTCATTAAGGTTCAAATATGAATTCATATGAATATGAATTTGGGATCCCTGCTCACCGTTTATTTTATCATAATTGAAAACTTGATTGTACTCTGATTTAATGGCTGGATATGAAGAGAAGTGTCTGCAGCACAGGGTCAGACTTTCATCTATCGTTTTTGTCTTGATGACCATTAAAAAAAAACACTGCGGAGGATGTGGCCTGATAGATACTAAAAAAAGAGGTTACATTTACTGACACTGTACAAAATGAAATACAGTAAAGGAAAGTTGCTCCAATGATAAAATGTCAGGCTCATATCTGCGTCCAGTTTGTTGCACGTCCCATTACTCTTACTGGCACTGCTGCTGTCTTTTCCATTTGTTCTGGACATATGGTCTTCTATATTTAAAAGCGATGGACTGCAGGACTGTAGGCTACCGCTCTCTTGGTGGACTGCCAATAATGCCAGCCATCTATCCCCTGTGTCAATCAGGAAGCCTTTCACTCAATTTGCACAACCTTGGCGGGGGATTTCATCAGAGTTTCAGTGCCACACAGCTCTGCCTCTCCCCAGAGCAACCATAACAACTGCAAACTCCACCTAAAGTTATATTTCATGCTAATGAATTAATGTCCCGTGTCCCATTTTCTGCCTGAAAATATTCTGCTCTCCCAATGCCAAAATGAAAAATCAAATCAGTCTTGTCATTTGCAGCTGATTTGTCGAGGTCCCGGCTCACTCTGCGTCTTCTCCCCCCGGCTCGGCTGATGAGACAGCACAACTGTGTTCCTGTTAGTGATTCTGATAACACCAAATTAAATGCCTTTTGGGAAAGTAGGGCTTTTAATAACGAATCGCAAACGTCAGGCTGACTCAGATCAATAAATTAAACACTGTATAAATTCACCATAAATCCACCTCGGTCCGCCGTCGCAGAGACACAACTCTGACCGACTTCTCGAGCGCTTTTTTAATGTCCTCTCTTCACACTTCAAAATTCATGAGGAAACAAACTCCTGCTGTTAAAAAATACTGACATGCATGCTGGGAGTCGAACACCGTGTTTGGACCCTTAATTGGTCGACTCAGAAACACAAACAGCAGCTGCAGTGGTGGATGGGAGATGAAGTGAAGAAGCTTTGAACACCGAGGCTTAATAACACAGTTTTAGATTGGGATGCACTGATCCGATATTTGGATCGGATATCGGCTTCTAATATTAAGTAAATTTATATCTTTGTTGATTTGTTACCTTTTATTTTCGAACAAGGCTAGTGTCAAGCCTGATGCCTTCACTTCCAGGGCAAGGTATACAGTTCATTCATTTAAAAGTGGTATTGGATCGGTATCGGACATCGGCCAATACACTCAGCCTAGGTATCAGTATCGGATTGAATCGGAAAAAAAATGGATCAGTGCATCTCTAGTTCTAGATGGAAACTGACTTTGTTGTTCTCATTGTCTGATGCCCACAATAAATCAATGACTATCTTTAGCAAAAAGACGCTCCCTGATATCAGCATTTGGAAATTTGATGAAAGGTTGGTCTACTTTTAGCTAGGAGCTTGTTCTTAGGATATAAGAAGGATGATAATGATGGAAATGGTTCCTTTCGTCATTTTTTCAAATTTAAACCAAAAACGAGAGAACTGAAGTTCAAGTACGGAGGGGGATCAAAAGTGGAAAAAAAAGATTAAAAAACCTAATTTCAAGAACAGAGCTTCACTTTTTTTCTATTTTTTATTTTTTTATTTTTTTTATTTTGTATTTTACAGAAAGGGGTGACTCCAGATAATCGTAAACATTTCAAAATAAAAGCCTTAGGAATCGACATCCCTAGCAAATTTTCCCTCAGGGATAAATAAAGTTCTTCTTTTCTTATCTTATTTCAATCATAGTGTGGTGGAAATTGTAACCCAGAATAAAATTTCACAGCCAATCCAAACTGACTGCGACTGCAAATTTGCAAAAATGTAAATCAATCCACTTGAATTAATGGGACACAAAAACCAGCCCAGTCTTTCCATGGCATCTTTCTTTTACTGTTTCTAGTATGCCACCAAATCATGACAAGAGTAGTTAGCTATTAGCTATTGTTACCTTTGGCTTCAAAAGAATTTCACATGATCACATGACACAAGGAGCCGGCCGCAATACGCTTTAAATCTTTGTAGGGGTAAGGTCCAAAAAACACACCTGCAACAATCACTTACAGTAAAACACAGATAGCAAATTCTGACCTGTGAGATCGCTGCTTCTCAGTGGAGTCTGAATATCCTGCTATCATATGTGGCCTGTTAAAAACCATGAAGCCATGACATCATGGTTATCCTGCTAATGTAAATGACTCGTGCCATCAAGCCGTGCAGTCAAGGTGACACTTACCTTCAGATAAATGCTCAGGTCTAAACTGGTGACTCCGAGGACTCTATATCCAGGTACAGGCCCTGCAGGGTGCAGATTTCTAAAAATGATTTGTGTTTAATTAAATTAGCACACTGTGAACATTGGGCCTGCTGATGCTCGAGCATAAAAGTAGTACAGATTGCACAGAGGCGCATGGAGGTGTTAGAGCTCGGTTTTGCCTTTGGGTCTCCCTGCAGGTGATTCCAGCCGTTATGTTGGTGCAGCATGACAACATTTCAGAGTGTTTTTTTTTTTAAGCCTTTTTGTTCAGCAGCTTTCAGACTGAGAAACCTGGTGGCCTCAGGCACACAGAGACACAGGCACGCATGACCCGGTGCTTTAATCTTACCTTCTGACTTATTGATAGAGTTATATTACTATCCAGGTCGTTTTACAGTCACGGTTTTAGTACAGTTATCTGATTTATTTACCTTTTCTGCTCACATAATAAGACAACACTGGACTATCACATAAAAATGGTCTAATTGGTCAAATGACGTGAAATAAGGTGCTTGAATGTGTCTAACCTGTTCCCCATGACGCTGATTTTTTCTTCCGACCTATCCAGAAATAACACATCCTTGTTGCCGTGTGTGTTTTTGCAGTAATGCTGCCAGTCCATAAGTGTGGTCGTCTTTCTTCTCCTCATGCAGAGCCAATCAATTCTCCACAGGCTGGTGCAGCAGCTCTGCTTTCTGTGGGAGCCTTGAATGAGCCGGTGGGTGGAGGGATTACTCTCTTGTAGCGACGGGCACGCAGCTGCAGATTCCACAATTATATCAAATTAAAACTTGTAATTACCGAAACAATAGGCTGAAACTAGGAAACCTGGTTGAATTTGAATGATTGATCACAGACTACAGACCCTCACCACAGGTCTGTAATAACAACATCCCTCTGCTAAACAACCTCAACAGCTTCTTTGCCCAGTTTGAAGCACAAAACAGCACGTGTCCACTGAAGACCCCGCTCCCACCCCACTGTTTACATGCTGTTTATGTCAATGCAACACTGCAGACTGCACCCACTACCTGCACTTCAGGTCATGTGTAAATATCTAAAGCAGAACCATTTCTCTGGTCATTAGGCATGCATGTGTGTGAATAGGTGTGCATGTGTATGGAACCAATCACAGTGCTCGTGGTCCCTGTCATACTTGCATATTTGGGGAGTGCATAGGATTGGGTACAAAGGCTCTGTGTAGGGTACAGGGCTACAGGCAACAGAAGCATAAGGCAGATGTCAAAGCCACTGTGAAATCTTTAAAAGCAAACGCAAAATTCAGTGAATGTGACTTCTGGTTCACGGACAAAAAAAAAACCTGGCATGTCCCTTTAAGAATGATTGATGTCTCCTCTTCCTGAAGTTTAAACAGGGGTCATGAGTCTGACCACCAGTTTATCTAACCATGAAGCTCTCCTCTCATCACTCCCTGTGACTGAATGTTTGCTGCTTCAACCAAAGTGAGGATTCGTCACTGGAGGCCCAGCTGTGTGTTTGCCGAGTGTGAACAGAGAGAAGAGCGGCGGGGGCATTAAGACATGAGAGTGTAGGAATGCCA